CCTTGCGCTCGCCCGCTACGCATGCGCATTCGTTCAGTGCCACCCTTCTGCAAGCCAGCCTGCTGCAGACCTCGAACATCTTGCTCGATTGTTGATATCTGCAGGACTGCAGGCTCAGTCTGCGTTGACACAGCTGTTGGCAGCACAGCCAGTTCAGACCAGACATCGACCCGTGTTCTTGGCGAACACGGGTTGGCTAGCATAGTCTGAGTAGCATGGTTCTTTTGAAGAGAGTGTGCTGAGGTTTTGGGCGCAAGGCTCCTGTCGGAAGTTGAGGGAAACAAGACTTGCCTAGGCCGAAGCCTTTGCAAGGGAGCTGGTGGTTTGATGGTGACGATGATGGAGGCATGTGACATCCATTGTGTTGAGGAAGGCAGGAAGAGAGACAGAGAAAGGGAGAGACTGTGTTCCATCTGCTCGAAGCCTGCTCGACATACTCGTCCACCATGGCCACATGAATTTCAGCTTCACCCTGGGCACCGCAGTTTCGGGTACCCGGAATCAACGGCGTTTGATCGGCAGCGCCTCAGAAATCAGGTTTGCTTCTTGAACCTGCTGTCGTGCAACTCCAATTTCGGCCTCGGGAGCATCTCAGGGGAATTTTAGTTGTGAGAAAAGTTGAATGCATGACACAGGTGCAGTCATCAGTCGCACAGATGCGGAGTTCCATCAAGAGTAGCATACGCCTCTCAGCACCTGGCACCACCGGGCATGGCACCCATCTCGACGTGCTCATTGAGCCTGTTTCAATTAGTTAGGTCAAGCCCTAGGCAGTGCAAATCGACAGGAATGACCTGCCTTCCGCCGGAAGATCTGCTTTGAGCAGACTCCCCTTTGCTGCCGTGTGAATGCTGGGAAGTTGCGTTGCATAGGTCAAGATGTAGAGCTCATTTAGAGTACAGATGCGGCTTGGTGCGCAGCTGTTCTTCGCGGTCTTTTCGAAAGCCTGGAATGTGGCCTTGAGACTCGGACCACAGCTGCTAGTAGTCTAGCGACCTTGCCCAACACTTCCTCAAGGTCTGTGGTGGCAAGTTCCAGCTTCTCACCTTTCAGTCTCTACTGTGTTCCCCACTGCCACTTGCTATTTGCAAGCATGCCAGCTCGGCGCAGCATCTGCTGGGTAAATACCCGAGATCGCTGCTCGCTGATGCTGCCGCCGCTCAGGCAGCTAAGCTGCAAACACAGAAGGCGCTGTTGGCATGCGTACCATCATTCGACAACATTCGACAAGTAGCAGCACTGGCCTTCTGCAAATGCCTCTTCCCTTCATCCACCGCTTGCTTCCCCAAATGAACGGCTTCTTCCACCTGTCTTGCACACACACGAGCGACTACCTGCTAGGTGCAAGGTCAGAATGAGCACCTTCTTCCGTGACGACTGAAGCTGGACGGACCCGAGCAAGTGAGTCTGAACAGCTTCCAGCCGCCACAGACTCGCGCGTCTCAGGCCAGGATCAATTTAAATTTGGCCTCTTTGCGGATGTCTGCCGCACAACTTTGGATCTTCTTGACGGCCTTCCAGGCCCGATCCCCACAGATCCCGTTGAGTTTTCTCTGGCTGTGTTCAAAAAGCGGCAAGCAGCACCCCTTGGCCTCAGATACAGCATTTGAGTCCTGCACGTAGGCCTCGTTTGCAAAGTTCAGATGGTTTCGGAGAACCAATCCGTGAAGCAGCAGGGCACTGCAGGCGAAAACCCAGGGGGGCGGCGGAGTCCCCGTCCCGCGGAGTCCTGATCGACCTTGACGCGCACAGAAACTCCGCAAGTAGAACGGAGCCAGCCCTCAAGGGCTTCTACCGGTCTGCAGTGGGTTGAGCCCTAACTGCAGCTGGAAATTCAGCATCAATACTCCCAGTGCAATGCCATGCAAGCAGAGAGTTCAGACAAGACACCCAGGACGCTTCGCGGAAGGGCTTGACGCCTTCGGTTCGCGGGGTTCGACTACAGACTGACACGTTGCAAATCTTGGCTCTGCTCAGTCACTGGCTCCACCCGCATACGACATACTACTCAATAAGGAGCCATTCGCTGCAACCGTGTTCTCATGTTGATACCAGTTTTTGCAGTCATTGCAGCTGCACCCTGCTTCACAAGGAGGCCGAGATAGGTTGAATTTTACTGAGCCTTAGATGCCGCGAGCCACAGGCAAGCCAGTAATCAAAGCTTTCCATTACAAGCAAGCAAGCAAGGAAGTCGGCGATTCAGTCTTGTCACTCTCTCGCGAGGAAAATTCTCCAAATCGATGAGTGAGAAGCACGCGTCAGTAGCACAGCTTGGCCGTCTACGGTCAACTTCCCGTGCAAACCTGACAGCACAAGCCGCCTCGAGCAAAGGCTCATCGGAATAGGGCTGCCATGATTTCCGTTAGCCTTTCCTGAATGCCTATCGCGAGGGTCGACCCAAGTATAAGATAAATCCCTTTGAACAGACTTCCCCTGGTAAAGCCCAGGAGTCCGTGCTTGTGCCAGATGTCACGGACGGTCAGGCTAAAGCTCGGATACCGCGCAGGATCCACCTTGCGAGGAGGGAGAGCTCTTCGACTCTAGCCTAAACACCCACGAAGCTCATCAAAGCTCGCAACATCTCGCAACTGAAGCAGAACCGAAATTCACCTCCTGCACCGCTTTTCGCACACACACACACACATACAGAGCTTGACTGCTCATGGCATGTGGCTTGGAGGATACGTCACATGTAGCTGGCGCTGGTGTTCGTAGAACGGAAGCAGGGTCTGCGCAGGCTCTAGAGACAACAGCTTGTGGGAAGTTTTAAACCCCTCAAGGCTACGATGGTACGATGGCACGACGATACCAACCACTCCAGAGTCCAGGATCTAACGTACATGGCCGCATGTCAGCAGGGCAACCCCAACCATCAACCAACCAAGTCTCCCCAATGAGGGCAGATGGATGCATGCAATACTTTTCGCTGAACTCCAGCACGCGTTTTCGGGGAGGTGTCGTACACAAGAGCAACGTACCATCATCTTGAGCTGCAAGCCTGCATCTTGGTCTTGACGTTGTCTCCGGCCATGTTGAAGAACGTGAGGTATGTGCCTCATGCCCACTGTCGCAATTTTACAGTCACCGAGGATGTTTTGCTTCTCGTGATGCAAGGCATATGTGTGATCTGTGGAACCCATCGATCCTGAGTACGTCCCCCCCGAGGGCCAGGCCAAGTGTCGCAGCCTCAAACGTGAGGACATTCGCCTGGTTCTTCTTCTCCAGGCCTCTCTGCAAGGGACTTCTGTGGAGGTTCCTGTCCTGCTCTGCCGACATCGGACGACCATGTCTTAAGGCTTCGGCTGCGGAGCCAGTCTAGGTGAGCTTCGAACCACGCAGGTGCATTGGCCGGACTGTTGTCTACGGCATTGTGCAGGAAGCGCTTCCATTCGAAGAACGCAAAGTTCCAGGAAAAGTTCCTGACCTCAGCATGAACATCAAGACGTGGCACGTGCCAGACAGCATCCAAGGGGTGAAAGTCTCGGACCCAAAGTCCTGCGGCACCTGCCCAAGCACCCGCGAGAATTCCTTGACGAGCCTGGCACTTACCATCGCCCCGTCAGAAAGCGCACTGAATGCAGTTGCAGCAGCACTCTTTTTTCTTGGCCTAGGACGACCTTTATTTGTCGTGGTGGCAATCTTTGTGTTCTGGATGGTTCAGGACAGCTTCGGGTACAACCCATCGGACAGCATCTGTGCTACGTACCTGCACGCCTTACAGTTCGACCGTGGAAAATTTCAAGCAAGACATCATGACCCTGGTTCTGTTTCTGACACGCCTGGCGCGAGATCGAGAAAGACTCTCGATACGACGAGATCTGCTGCTGCAGACCTCGAGCGCACAAACGAAGTGATCTCCTGGATCCGGCTGCGCCAAGCATGAGTCTGCAGTTCGTCTGTGGTCAGCACCCATATGCACACCAAAGCGTTCGCTCCATCCGGTGGCGGCTACCTGGTCAGGTTGCACAATCCATCGCAGGGTGCGCCGCAGAGCTCACTGATGTGCGCTGCCCGCAGTCGCCTCTCCGGCTGTGCTCAGGGCAACGGCGGTGAAGAGACCACCGTGAGGGCCGAAGCCAAGGTCCCGGAACTGCTCAAAGAGCAGCATGGCAGCTGGAACCTGCCATCGGCGCATCACTCAGAATTGTGGCATGCTGCGGCCCGCGAGCACCTTCATGCCCCAATGAACCGTCTCGTTGAGCAGCGTCACCTGTCAGCGGCCCGGACCCGAAAAGGAACTCTTCTGAAGAGCGGCGATCATGAGCGCCATCTTGTTCACCGTGACGAGACACCGCTGGGCGCCAGTATTTAGCAAAGCCGAGAGGTGTCCATGTGCCATCGACGGAGATCAAATGTGTTCGGCCCATGATCCGAAGCCTTGAGAAGCACGGCTGATCGAGACTCTATCGGGCGCTGGCGGACTCGATTCAGTTGAGGTCCTGGCGCTTCTATCATGCTGCAGCTGTGCTGCTGCGCGGTCCAGCGAGCATAGTTTAGGTACTGGAGGGTGAGATACTTCGTAGCACCTCGAAACTCGAACGTGTCTGTGGGGCATTGCTACATTGTTACATGCAGACATGCATTATACGTTCTGCTCAGGAACCTCCTTTTGCACCATTCAGTGCTAGCATCCCATATCCAGCAGCCGTTGGGAATGGCAGGGCGCCATGGTCCTTCCCTCCCATGAGGCTTCAGAGCTCCTCGTGTTCCCTATGCAGTGGTCGGCCTATAGAGGACCTTTGCGAACAAGGACCGCTCTCGAGAGGTGGCATCTGTAAGCACTGGGCACCATCTGACTCAGAAGACGTATAGAGCTAGGTATTTCCGTGATTGCATGAGAGACTTGGCTCAGATTGGTGCAAGAAGGTGCTCTCATCGATCCAGCTGCCATGCATCCTAGGGACTCTACGTCGCACGTTTCTGCACGGGCCGACAGCCGCTTTGCATGGCGTCCTTTTTGCGCCGCTGTAGTAACAAAACACATCCAGATTGCAAGAGCCTCAATCTGACAGCTCCTTCAAGGCTGTCTTCAAGTTGAGAATTTCCTGCTGCCGAAGTGCCTCTCTCTTTGCAGCATCGCTCTCATCGGACAAGCACTGCTTCGCGAGCTCCTCAAAGTACTTGTTGGCAGAATCCAGCTGCGTCTCCAGAGAAGTCCGGTCTGCCTGCCTCTGAGCCAGAAGCTTGCTCTGTTGCTCTTTCTTCTCTTCCAGATGCTGGGAGTCCATCTTTTTCTCAGCCTGGTCGACCCGGGAGTCCTCGATGAACTGCCTGAACTCTTTGTCCGAGGCCTGCTCGGCGGCCGACGTCTCTGCCTCTAAGCGGGAGAAATCCCCGAGAAGTGTTTCCAACAGGCTGATGATCCTCTTCTGCTGCGTACCGGCGGCCGCCCTGGTAGCAGCCTGCAGAAAAGAGGTGCCGCTCTTCTCGTAGAAATCCTGCAGGATTCCCATTGCCTGGGCGACAGCATCTTGTGCCCCTTTCGCATCTTTGATGGTCGCCTTGTTCTTGGCCTTTTCTTTCTGGCGGAGCTCCGTGGCCTCAGACATTGCGGCACTAAGCTCTGTGATCTGGGCCGAGGTCGCAGCGATCTCTTCAGTGACTTTGGCCAGCGATATCTGCAGCTGGTCAAGCTCCGCCTGCAAGGCACAAAACTAAGACAAGCCACACAAGCCACTACTTGCCTTGTGCCTCCCCCCGAGGTTGCCTGCAAATCCCAATGATCCAAATTAGCTGCAGACTACGGAGGCTGAAACGGTATGACCGGAGCTTTTCGCAACCCGGCCGAAACGCTTTCCAGAGCATCTGTCTGCTTTGCACGAGTTCGGTTGTTGCTGGCCAGCTCCTTCTTGCAGAAGGCCTGGTGCTCGATTTCCGAATCTGCTGTGGCTTCCAGGTTGGCCAGAAGCTTTTCCAGCAAGCCTTTGATACTGCTCAGATCTGACTTGTGGGGCCCAGCGAGGGCATCGATCTTCTGGAGCAGGAGGCCCAAGTCCTGGCTCTTCAAATCGCGAGCACCCGCCTCCAGAATCCTCAAGGCTGAGTCCACTTGGGAGGGCTTCTTGACGGAGCGCAGCGATGCTAGGGACGTCGAGACGTGCAGAAGTCCTGCAGATCAGTGTCCATACTGTGGCTGGTGCAGCTAGCTCATGCGGGCATGTTCGACAGAGGCTGGAGCATCCTTGCATCTACTTGGCACCCAGTCCTGCCATGTGCTTCTCGGCCGAGCCGGCAACAGATTTGCCACTGATGATCTCTGTCGCCAGGCTGATCGCCTCCAGCTCCTCTGTCCGCAAAGCCTGGCTTTTCTTAAACTCGTCGGCTTTGTCTCTGCACTCTGTCTGCAAATCCTGTCGATACTTTTTGTCGGCGGCCAATGTCTTTTGGGTCTCCTCTAAATCTGATTTTGCCGTTGCTAAGTCCTGCTCGGCTTTGCTCTTGAAGAGAGTCTTTTCGGCTTTGGCTTCCTCCGAGGTCGCGAGCTGGTTTTTCAAGCTCGTCATCATGAGCTCGTGCGAGCTCTTTTTGGAAGTCTCCATCTTTTCAAGATCTGCCTTTTCCTCCTCAAACTTCTTTTTTAGCTTTTTGAGCATCTTGATCACACCCCCGGACTGGAAATCATATCCGTTCTTCTCTGGATCAGCCTGCAGGAATGCGGCCAGCACCGTCTTCACCTCCGCTGGGGTGGAAGTTTCAGCTACCCTCGATATGGAAGCTGCGGACTCCGCCGCCTCAGTGGACTGTGCGAAAGCTGCTTTTGCTTGAGGGCGGCTAAAATCCTGATCCTTCAAGGTTTGGGTTGCGCGCCCAATTGCGTCAATCGACTCTTCGTACTCTTTCAAGGTGGCAGAAAAGTCTGCGGCCTCCTGAGCACGCAAAGTCTTGGCATCATCGGTGTCTTTATTGGTCGTGAGGATATCTTGCGAATGCATTTGCAGCTCTTTTCCGAGCTTGGAAATCGAAGCCTGGAGCTTCTCAATGCCAGCCGCGAGCTGCTCAGAGCTTTCCTGCCCCTCTGAAATGGCAGTTGCTTTCTCACCCAAGGTCTTCTCACAAAAAGCAGTGAATTCAGCATGCTGGCTCTTCTCTGCATCCATTTCGGCAACTCCGTTGGTCTTCATCTCCGCCAGCGCTTTCAAGACCTTGTCAACTGGGGAAGCCTGTGCTGACTGCACCGCTGGCAGCAGCAAGGGCAGCACCCAAAGCATTGCACGGCGCTGGCTGCGCTGGCTGCGCGGGCTGCGCTTCATTTCTGACGGCCTCCGGCCAGAAGGCCACCGGCTGAAGCCAAGGCTTAGCCCAGGCACAAGCCTAAGCCTTGAGACTAATCAAATTCATCAAGGCAAAGCATAGCAAAGCATACAAGACAACATCCACCCCATCCCAAGCTGCAGCCTCTGCACAGATTGGCCTGTTTTTTCCCAGCAGCTCTTTTTCGAGATGCTGGTCTGGCGATCCTGTCGGCGTCGTGAACTGCACCTTTGAGCGCGAAGTCATGATTCCACCATGTCGCCGAAGCAGATCTCGGCAGATCTCAGGAATCCTGGCGGGTCACTTTGGCTTCCGCGGTGCCTTGCGGTTACTGCAGCTGGGCATCTACGTTGGGCCTGAGATCGAACCAGGAAGCCGCCATATGCCTGCAGAGAAGGTCTTAAATCATCTGCGAATCTGCGGCTGCTCGGGCTGACATCGAGTTGTAAGAGTTGCTGACATCCTTGGTGCTGCTCTTTTCCTCCGACAGTCTTTGCTGGCACCTGGGTGCTGGCATGCCCTTGTATGGCATGCAGAGCAGGCCCAAGACCAAGCCCCGTACTCCTGCAGATGGCGTCGAATGTCAGCATTCCTTCAAAAACAGCTCAAAGCCGCTCTCAACAGCGAATGACTCTAGACTCGACTTACGGCACAATCTCCGCTCGCATCTCGGCCTGGGCTCCAGCTTGGCAGCCTCGCGCAGGTCCTCCTTGGCCTGGCGTTTTCTGCGATGTTTTCCGTGACCGCCAGCTACAAAGCCGACGTCTGTGTCCTGCTGCAAGAGCCCGCATCCAAGGCCAGCGAGGCCACGGCGGTAGAGGGCCTGGCTGAGAGTGCCAAGCTGCATGCAGCTTGGCACTGTCGCTCTTGGCAATGGCCTTGGAGTTCTTTGGGTGCAGAAGCAGCGCTGCTTCAGCATGATACCTTGGCATCGCTTGCATTTATTTGCTCACGCAGTTTAACACGGAAACTACTCGAAACATTTCTGGTATGTCAAGTCGTTCGTCTGAGGTTTTGATTCTTGACTCAATTGGTGCTGACGACAAATCTGCCTCGAGACATCTACTATCATCTACTGATCACTGGAGTGGTGGCTCTGACTTCTGGCTCCTGCCGTCAGCACAAGGCTAGCATAGCGTAAGTGGCTGACCTTGCAGCTTGATGATCTTCCAGCTTGAGCCTTGGCAAGAACATCCTCGAAGCGACGCAATTGCAATTGTTGCCAACGCAGCTCGGCGCAGCTCATGCACTGTGAAAGGTTCAGTTGGCAAGCCAGCGCCTGTCAAAGTCTGCACGCAATTCTGCTACAGTCTGGCAGATGGAACAAAACAGTCGGGAGGAGTCGCGCACCAGTGTCTTTCTCGACTCGCTTCCTCAGTTTGACGTTCTTAGAATCTGCCCAAGGCAACAAACAGCCCAAAAGGCTTCCAAGGTTGCGTCGAACAGCGTCTGACCAGACACCCTCTTCAGCTCGCGGATCCGCATCTGCCTCAGAGTCAGAGGTTCCTTTGGCTCTTGGCGACTTATGGGCGACTTCCTCGAAGTCGGCCTCGAAGCCCAGAAGCTCCAGTGCCAGCAGGTAAGAGCGTGCTGCCTGCTCCAAAGTGCCAGCCTGCACGGGTCGGAGCCTCAGAGCCTTGCGAACTCGAAGCCGGCCTGTTCCTGCCTTGAAGTGGGTGTTGCCCTCCTCCTTAGCTTTCGTGGCCTGCACCAGCCTCTCCTCGACAGGGGTGAAAGTCTGTTCTGTGGCCCCTTGGGCCAAGGACAACCAAGGATAACCCCGCCAGACCTCGGCCGACAGATCCTCTCGGCACACCTCAGCCTCTGCAGAGGGCACTGTGTCAAGAAGCTCCAGCCTTGGCAGTGCTTGGCATTGCTCATACATCTCATACTCTTCTTCACGGGCCGGGCCCACAGCTCAAAGTAGAGGACTCGCTTGCTCTCAACCAGCTTGGCACCTCATCAGGAATCAGTTTCTCCAACAATTGCAGAGACGAGCGGATACCGGCCCGCCTCCTGCGATGGGGGCATTCCCAAAGGCCATCTCGGGGTGGACCTGTTCAAGCTTCTGGAACATGTGAGAAAGCGCAGTTTTTCGTTTCGGCCGCTGCCGTAAGTGCGGCGAACTCGCCGCGCTTCATGGAACAAAGCGCTTGCCTCGGCTCTGCTTGAAGCACAGGCTGCGGACTCTTTCACTGCTTCAGGCCGCCGCTCCCAAGCTGGTATGACCTCACCTGATTGCAGCCCCATGCCAGACTCTGCTTTCGCGTGGGTGACGCGTGGCCTTCTCCGAGAGTGAAGGAAAACGGCTCGTTTCTGCCTGGCTCTGATGCGGGCTGACACTACGGGTGACCAGGTCACCTAAGCCTGCTCTAAGTGGCCCGATAAACCTCTCACGCACGGTGCATTGACTTCCAAACCAGCTCCTACCTCATCAAATCGATGCAGGGACCTCTCGAGTCATCTAAAAGTGCGCCGTCAGAATCGCCCAAGCGGCATGTGTAGTGCAGCGTGACCTGTGCTAAGCAAGGACCCTGTAGTGTCAAAGTACCCTCACCTCTGGGGCGTTTCCAAGTAGCCGACGCGATCGCCTGTCTCAGGAACTCTTCCCCCTGCATCGCCTGCGGAGAGAACCTCGAGCTCTTGAATGGTTCACTTCACTCACAAGTTGACAGTCGAACATACTTCGATGATGTCGGTGCCTCCTTGGACCATCTGCCGTTGCACTGCAGGTCGTCCATTCGCGCCAGACGCTGTGGACAAATGCATGGCGTCACGTAGCTTTTGCAACGGACTTGGGCTCCGAAACCTCACATGTAACTACATTTGATCTGCAAGTTCTCAGGCTGCAAAGCAGCTCCCCCTAACATGATTGTTTTTCGGGCTTGCGATGTGGCTGAGCCAGCTTTCGGGTTTTTGGATGCCATGTAGCAGCAAAGCAACACTGCATCAGGGGACAGGGCTTGCAGTGACGCTGTTTTGCCTCAGGCAAATCGGAGCAGACCAGGGCATCGTTGGCAAAGCCGTGGCGCGTCATTCGGGACTGACCACCAAGGCTGTTGAAAAGAGCGGGCACGTGTCGGTTGGATCCCGCCTAACCCAAAGACTGGTGGCAGTGAGCGGCTTCGCCTGGAGCTCGAGCAGCTCCTTGCTATGAGCGTGTACAGTGTACAGTCAGAATGCCAGACAGACGAAACAGTTCGAGCCGTCCTCCGTCAGAAGAGCCACCTGTCACAAGCGACAAGATCACAAGCACAGAAATACGGCACGGGGAAATGTATCCAATAAGCAGATCACAACAGCTGTCGGGCTGCTGACTGCAGCCGACCACTTTTGGCTGGAGCCGATGGTCACAAGACCAGTTTGAGAACGAGAAAACGTTGCGAAGCCCGCTGAAACCTATAGAAATGGCAACAGCACGGAAAATAATGCGACTCGGTCACATCTTCGGCGAGGACAAGGCATCGCCGTTGTTGTCTTTCGAGCACTGCTTGCAGGTGAGCCTGATTCACGAGGCTGACTGAGGGCATCAGGAATACGCAGAGCACCCCTATCTTGCAATCTTTCTGCCACGCTAAGCTCGCAGGCACTTCTCTTGGGACTGGCTTCTTCCTTCCACTGGCTCGTCTCGTCAGGAATCTGTGGCTCTTGTGTCTCAACCTGGCATCTCGAGAAACGTGGCTCCTGGCAATTCCCAAGCCCAGTCCATGGAAGCCTGCCCCTGTGCATCGCACTGGACGCCTTGGTCCTGGCGCGAACAAAGCAGCAAAGGCCCGCCCGAAGGCCCCACGACAACCTTCGTTTCTCCGTTTCGGGCCTTGGTTTCAGACCGGGCGACAGCGCCGGCGCCTCACAGCTCATCAAGGGAGTGCTGGACCCTGTGACATAAAAAAAGAAGAGGAGCAATGGAATGCAAAGAGATGCCACAAGTACAGGTCACTGCTGCTCTCGCAGCCCCTTGCCGCTCTGCAACCCCCTCGCCTGCGACGATGGATTTTGGTCGCTTTTGCTGAGCCTGACTTGGCCGGGTTCCGTCATATTGAAACTCTGACAGTATCTGTGGGCTGGGCAGCATCAACATCCGCATCCTTGGCAGCAACACAGCGCTACTGCAAAGATTGCTGCAGGTTACCGCGGCTGTGAAGGACCCTTCCAGGAGGGCTCTCGGCAATTGCATCACCGGTGATCGGAAACGGAAGATCCAGTATGCTGTCTGCGGCTGTTCGGGGTTGGACCATTCGGGATTGGACCAGGTCGGCATGCTCTTGAGAGGCCTTTGGCCACAGATACGAAGAACTGAAACCTGCGTTTGCAAAGTTGAAACAGCTCGCACAAAACAAAACGGCTTGGGCAGGGACCTCAATCTCATGCCAAACAGTCCTGCCGCGGCTTTTCTGCACACCCCCTTATGCTGACCGAAGTGACACATTTCAGCTCCAATGTTCATCCGGCGTCCTGGCAAAACGCCTCTGCCTCTGGCCCAGCTTCTGGCGAGGTCGGGCCTCCTGCGCTTCATTGCCTCGCGGCACGGGAAGCTGCACTTGGCCCAACTTGCCAAAGGTCAGAGGACCTGATGCAGGCACCACCTGGGCAGGCGAGGCCCGCCAACCTGCAGAAATCACAGCAGAGTATTTTCAGGTTGCCCAAAGTCCGGGCTTCCCGCCAATCTCCAAAGGTCTCGGAGACTCCTGGGAGGTTTCAGCGGAAGCACGCGAGGTTGGGGTCGGAGGTTGGGGTTCAGCTTATTCGCCAGCAGCCATCTGATTCCTTTGTTTCCAGAATCCCCGATTACAGCCGCCTTGCTTTAGACACATGCTTGGGCTGCTCGGCATCGGACAGCCTTGTCGTGCATCATCGCGTTCTCCAAATACTTGATCCGGGCCTGTCAATAACATCTTCTCGCTTTCTCGAAATATTGGCAACGTACAAAGCCCGGAGAACAGAAGCCTGGTTCACTCGCAAAAAGGTTGCGCAGAGCACCGATCGGGATAAACAGAAAAAGCTTTGACAGGTCTTGGACGTCTTGAACAACGCGCTAGCTGAGCCTTGTGGGGAACACTATGCAGGTGCGAAACTCGATGTCAATGTGTCCTGCTCTTTAGAGGGAATCGCCATGGCTCTGGTTACAGGATGGCACAGCGGCCTAAGCCCGTGTCTTCACCGTCTCTCTCGTAGATCCAATTCTTACTTCAATACCCGGCCTTGAGTGAGTGCAGAACGCAGTCTCGCAGCAAGGGTGACAATCCATCGTGCTGATAGACCTTTAAATGACAGCAGCAGCATTGCATAGTTCGCCCTCAGCTCGCTGCAGATGAGTGGCCTGAAGCATAGAGTCTTCACCATTCCAAGGGAGATCGCCATCTTTGGGCAACTCCAACATATGAGGACTGGACCTGAACTTGTGACAACACTGAGCAACGATGACAGTTCAAATAGCTTGGTGGCAACCATGAAGCCATGGAGCCCTTACATCCACGCCTCGCTCGACTTGTCCGGTTTGAAACCGTCTTCAGCTCGTTCAAGGGCGCCTCTGCCTCAAAGCAGGATGGACCCCCAGCCTGCGCAATCCGTAGCCTCTTCAAGACTGCCTTTGCAAGGCACCGGTTCGACACCGCGTGAACCTCAAGCTTCCAAGAGCCACGGCGAAGTGGCGAATGCAAGCCAGTCGGCTCCAGGCCCACTTATCACTGCCCGCTGGCTGGAAGTACGAGACCAGACAATCAGACCTCAAGGCGTGAGGAACGGCTGGGAGAGAGATGTGCGAGTTCTGCGGATATCTGGGGACAGAGCTCTTCAATGTACCGCAGCCTGCGTTTCACAAGACTCTCCAGCATCGCAAAACGTTTTGCTTGCACACCTTGACACCCATATTGGCCAAAAGCATCCGGCCTCAACGTGCCAAATACGTCGCCGGTATTTCTGAAGAGCAGGCGCCCCTGTGCTGGGAGGAACTCTTCACGAAACCGTGGTTCTAAATCTGATTCCGTCCAGGCCGCCACCATCCAAATATCATCAATCAGCAGCATGCCGCGGACCTGCATGTCGAAGATGCTTCCATGTTATGGTGACGCTCATCCAGACGACCTCTTTCCCATCGTTTTGGCGCTCTTCGTAAATCATCTGGTGCATATCATCCAGCCACACCTGGTAACAGCCTTGGAGGAGTGTCGGAACATGGGGGGGGTGGGAAAAAGCACCCCTAAAATTAGGGCCTTAGGGCCCTAGAGGGGTGTGCTCTGGGATGGTCTGGGAAGCCAGCTGCCAGGCTGGGAGCTCCAGACTCCCAGCGCTTTCGCGAAGCCGCCCTGCGGAGTTCACGGAGTTCAGACTCTGACGCTGCCCTCCGCGATGTTTTAAGCGCTGCCTCCATGGATCTGACTGGGACATGCGTGACCCAGGAGGATCACTTGGAACCACTTTAGATTCTGGTAGAGCTGTGGCCCCTGTGCAGTCTTGAAGCCTATTTTGGGTAGCGAAAGTTTAATAGGATGTTCTGTGCATTTCTGGACTGCCAGCTCGAGCCCATGAAGGCTGCAGGAACCCGGAAGCGATATCCCTGCGAGAGCTGCTGCTGATCACAGGTCATAGGTCCCGAACAGAAGCGCCACGCGAATTTTTCCAAGCTTTCAACTCTAATCGCGATGCCACCGGAAATGGAGGCTGCAGCCGTCTTTGGAACAATTTTTGACTGGTGACACACACAAAACTGCAGTGCCGCAAAGCAGTATTCCACTTTGGCACAGCGGGATGCAGGTTCCCTAGTCGTGCAGGAAAAACGCACGGAGGCACTTCAGTGAAGCGGCACCGTGCCCGGCAAAGCCTGCGCACCCGTATATATGCATGCTAGTTGCAGATGTGACTTTCTGGCCCAAGTGAACGGACTCCAGGGCCTCATCTCTTTGCCTTTGTCTTGGTCGTTTTTTCTGCTTGGTTCAATCGCTTATGTTCCGCCTGTCAGATGATAACAAGAGCTTCGGGCAGCCTTTCGCCAACAGCTTCTGGACAAGGGCAGATTTAACCCGTCCTTGCCGAGGTCTTCAAACACCTGGCAGCAAACAAATTCACACACGGAAAGTTAGGAGTGGTTTGACTTATGCGAAGACCAGAGCTGATGCCCAAGACCTAGGGTCTACACGTCAGCAACTTTTGGCATGTCGCCTCATGCGCAGCAATGTCCAAGAAGAGCGTCAAGTGTACAGCCTTGGACCTAAACCTGCCTTCCTGAACCACAACGACTGGCCTCTACCTGATGTCAGACTACGGCAAACATGCAGTGGTTGTTCCAGTGCGGTGTACGGGAAAATGTTGCAACTCCGATGGTTCTGCGACTCTAATAGTCGAAATTGGGGCCCTCGGCTTAGCCTCAGCCATATCCAGCGCAAGTCCACAACCAGTGAAAGATAACCAATGTACAGCCACAACAGTATAGTATGTCACAAACTGCAGGTACGTGAAGAAGGCGTCCCTACCTTTTAAAGCAAATCTGGACGGTCTTTGACAATCAAAGGGCAGATGTTCTGCGGTAATGACGCCAACCTGTGAAAAGACCGTCAAGTGAAGACCCTTAGAAACAGGGTTTGCACACACACACACGCACGCACGCACGCAAAAGAAATGAAGACCGAACATGGGAGAAGACCCGGAAGAAACACAGAGAAGCAAAAATATAGCTCTCTAACATCCCGTAGCGCCCCTGCAGGCTCGCCGACCTCTTCGTCCCCTTCTTCAACGATCTCTGCCCAATTCTTTCGATTGATGTTGTCCTGAGTGAAGTATACAGTATGGAGGTTTCGGATTCGACTGTCCGAGGTCGATCGTACAACTTGCAAAACAACTTCTGAGGTGTCGGCGAAGTTTAAAGGCTGCAGAGGCCGCGGGAAAAGGTCATCCTCATCCTTGTCCCGCTCCCGATCACGCGATGGCAAGCTTGAGGCTCTGTGCGAGGCACCTGGCGCCTGTCGCGCTTTCTGCTCTCTGGCGGAGCCACGACGGCTGAGCCAGTTCTCTAGGGTCGGTGACGCCGATCTCTGGCGGGAGGGTTGAATCCTGGGTGGGTTCATCTGCGCGACCACTGCGCGCCAGGCTGCGGTTCTCGGGCTGTCCCCCTGACGGAAAGCCGATTCGGGCAAAGCGGGTCTTTCTGCTGACCTTGCTCTGAGAGCTGCAGGCGGTGGCTGCTTCTCGGATGCCTTTCCGAAGCGCTTCGCCAGCCAATCATCCAGCTCCGCATCCTTGTCTCCTGGCACAGGGTAGTCCTGCTCCGCGGTCCAGAGCCCTGCATTCCTGCAGGCCCAGCCAGCTGCGGCTGCCATCTCGACACGTTGCCGTGAAGCGTTGGCGACCATGTTGAAAACGTTTTGGCCAAAGCTCTTGGCCAGGCGTGTCCACATCACAGCTGAGGCAGAGTGAAGCAAGCAGATACCTTCAGTTGCATGCATTAAGGCCTGCTGTACCAGGGGCCGTTGTCCCCAGATCTCTGGACTGTTTTCGAGTCTGGCGGCTTCATCCTTGAAGGACACGGTTGTCAGGCCACACCAATCTAGAAAATTGCAGGCATTCACCATGCCCTTCTTCTCCAGTGCCTCATATGCCCATTGAGCGTCAATCACTCCGTTCAGGTTGATGCCAAATTTGTGGGCAAAGACCGTGGCATGCGTCGTAGCATCTGTCGTGATTTTGGAGGAGTTTGCGTTGGTAAAGAATGGCACTAAGCTGTACAGCTGCTCACCCAGTTGCATTACGTCGAACATGAAAACTTGGAGCCCGTTCGTATTGTCGCTGAATGCCACGACCAACAGGCACAGCTTGCCAGCAGCGGCTCTCAAATTCCAGCCGTGGCAATCCATCGCGATCATGGCACCCTGCGGCAGATGGTTTAGCCGACTTGCTGCTTGTTGCAGGTTCATCTGGTCAGCTATGAGGTAGACCGCCGCAGAGCTGCCGTCAGGAAGCCGGTGCTGCCATTGGCCTGACATCTGCACTGCGTTGGGAACGGGAGGCCGCTTTTGTGGCCGTGGCCCGAAAGGCTTAGCACGCCTTGAGAACCCTGATGGCGGATCAGTCGAGTCTCCTCTCTCTCTCGATGTCCTGCGCTCTGCGGAAGTTCTTCTTTCCGCTGAGGTTCTTCTCTCCGCAGACGTCCGCCGTTCAACAGACTGCCTGGGCGGAGGCGACCTCCCCTCAGCCTCAAAGCGTCTCTCCAGGGAGTCGCGCCTCTTGGCCGCCTGCTCCGGGTCAATGAAGGAGGGCCGCCAAGCATCTTTCGAACTGCTTCGCTCGGATGGGAAGAAAGGCCCTGGCCGGGCGGGACCCGATGGACCACCATTTGCCGGACCCTCGAAGCCATTGGGACTCGAAAAACCCCGGCGGCCTCGAGGAGGCGAACGGCCACGAGCTGAAGAGCCCTTTCCACCAAAGTCTCCCTTGTCACCTCCTTTTCCCATCCCTTTGTCCCCCTTGATGCCCTTCTGGTTGTTTTGACCATTCTGAGGCATCATGCCTGGAATCTGACTGAAGAGTTGATTGGGATTCAATTGTCCACTCTGCACCTGCGCTGCATCCACATAGGCAACTGCCACTGCACCGGTCGATTGCATCTGATGCCACTGGCTCGCAGGAACGATACAGGGCATGTAAGACATGCCGGGCTGCATTTGCGCATTGGGATTAATCATCACCCCTCCAGGCCCTGCGCCCCCTGGACCGCCTGGGCCCCCTGGCCTTGGGCCTCCTGGGCCTCCTGGGCCTTGTGGGCCTCCTGGGCCTCCTGGCCCTCCTGGGCCGCCTGGGCCTGGGCCTGGAGCATTTGGACCACCTTGGTTTGGGCCGCATGGACCCCCTGGACCGCTTGCAGGGCCGCCTGGACCACCGCCTGGGCCACCTGGACCTCCGGAACATGCGCCGGGAGCGCCGCTCTGGTTACCAGGTGGCATCATTCCCCCGAACATCATGACCGGGCGCATCATCGGAACTGGTTGCATCGGCGGCATTTGTGCAATGGACACAAAGCTACTTCGCCGCACCTAGTTTTCGCACATCGAACGAGCCCTCAGGGGTCTCGATGGCGAATGTCTATAGCGGCACGCAAGGAAGCGCCGCAGTCTCGAGCCGGCAAGTTGTACCAGTTTGCACGAGTAACATGATTCATCTTCATCCAGTCTTCGTGAATATTCAAGCAGACAATGTGTAGACGTGTCTTCCCTGTGAACGACTTCCTTTTCGGCGCATAATTGCTTAGCAAAAGCATCCGGTCGGGGAACATGTCGCGATGTTTCTGCGATGAGCAGGAACAATGCCCATAGTAGAGATATCACGCCCAGTGCTGCAAGCTCCTTGGGACAAACAAGGCTTATACAAGGCTCAAAGAGACGGTTCGAGATTCTATACAAAACAGGCCAACGACAAAGCCGTCCAGACAAAGACTCCCAGCAGGTTCGAACATCGGATGGTAAGTCTCACAAGTTCATACCGCACTGGAACAACACCATGAAGTGAACGTGTCCTCATCGGGGGTGTCCTTGGGACACCCCTGCTTGCTGCATCACTAACTAATTTTCCTGCCCGTAGTGGGTGCATGAATGTGCATCATCCTTTGGAAAATGTGATGGCACCTGGGTGGTGCGTGGAATTCAGCTGTGCTCTTCGGCGCTTCCCGATGCGGACCCGTTCGGGTAGTCTTGAGTCACGAGTGCTGCTCTAGCTACCGAAGAAGACGGCTGCGAAGGGAAACAACCAACGGTCTTGCGGTAATTGCAAGGCACGAAATCTGCAAACCCGCTGGTCAAGAAACCGCCCCACTCTCCCAGCTATCGAAGCTCAGCCGAGCCCTTCATCATTGAAGAGCCCACTTCGCTGCATGGTGTGAGCATGCGCCTCAAGACTTGCTCCCGCAGGAACACATTCCGCTTCTGCCACAGTGCTGACACGTCTAACTGCAGAGCAGAGACATCCGATATGTTTTGGAACGCTTTCGAAGACATACCCGACTTCACCAAGCTCCCCTGATCTCGTGCACCTCAACCAGCTTGGCGGAGGCGGCCGCATTCGCCAGCCGCGGAAGGCGATGAAATCTGAGCGAGCACAGGGTGAGTCTGAGTTGCAAGCTATTTTTGTCTCAGCACCCTGGGGAAATATTCGGTGCATATTATATTGACTGTAGTCGAAGTCACTCTTCCGTCCAATCATTTGCAGATTCCGCTTCGTTGAAGCAGTGCTCGCACTTGTCTAGCCCCGAAGCACATCCCAAGCAACTAAACCGATGAGCATGGATGCAGAGACCCGCACTTCTTGCGGATGCGTCCGGCAAAATCGAAGATGCCATTGTCGTGCCTTCGCGGGGGCTTCAAACGAGCTCGAGCTGCGCAACGACAAACTTCAGTAGCAGGCTCTGAACTACATCGGTGGGATCAATTAACTGGAACCTGACAAACTACAAACCCGGTATCCGTTAAGTGCGAAGTCTGGAAGCTGATAACTGACATACTACCTGTGGCAGCTCGCGGTACGGACACGAGGAAACTTTCAAGACAGTCCTTCGGCTCTTCGCCTGAATCCTCAAAGCCAAGGCCGTGGCATGAAAGAGTAGTCCAACCAAATCTGCTCGTGAGGCCATTCGTACTGCGAAGAGCACACAGCAAGCGAAGGGACTCCTTCATGAGAACTCTCCCAGATGAATGGCCAAGCTGCCTCCAACGGTGACGTTCCTGCTTTCTTCCAATCAGGCACAACCATCACGAGGTCCTCGCCAAGTTTTGGAGTGCACGGTTGCTAGTTGCGTGAAGGAGCCAAAGGCACTCCTTGCCCATCTTGGGTCCGACCTGCACAGGCCAAATCCGGATGCCACTGGCACATAAGCTCTTTGACATGCATAGCGCTGCCTTCGTGTTCATGAATGCACGGATTCTTGGAAACAGACCTCATGTCAGCCAGACACGACCCAAAAGAAAATCGCTACCCCTGTAGACACAATACAACCTCGTGCCGCCGAGCGTCGTTCGTCGAGAAGATGATGTGGATTCTCCATTCCCTCTGCCTCTTATTGAGTTGTGCTCGCAAAATGTGCAGCAAGGTGTTGTGCAAAGCATTGCAAGTTTAACTACAGCATTTCACATTTGTCTCGTGCGTATTCGGCGGCCTTGCGGAAGCTGGCAAATTGGCCCTTCTGCTTCCGCCTCTCCTGGAAAAAGTCTGAAGCTCCATTGCGCCTTTGCCGCAAGCGACGGTGTCCAGCAAATAAAAACACTAAAACGCAATGACCCCGATGCAATCTCCGGATCCTGTTATCGGAAAATCTGTGCGTCGCTTGAAGCATGGTTGACATGAGTGACGGCTTGTCATGACCAAAGCGCCTCCCGCCAGGGTTCCGCAGAAGCCGTAATCAACATCGATAACCTCCCTCCCTCCCTCCGTCAGATCCAGCTCCTCCTGTCTTCCACACGGAAAAGAGGAGCAGTCGGACTATCCCTCCGCACCTCCTCTCTTTCTTTCCCAAAGGTAGAGGAAGGGGAGCGACCCCCTCCCCGTGCTCCAGGCGCCCTCCCCCATATGTCTCTCTCCAACAACTTGCCAGTGCAGATTGGGCCGGAAACCGTGCTCAAGCAAACGACCGACCATGCGAAACACAAAACCAGATAACTACCACGATGCCAAAGGAAGAGCACGAGAAACAAACATGTCAGTCGTTTTGGAGAAGGGAACCCTCTTGGAAGTTCAGGCAACCAGAGTGAAAAAGGAGATGGTCCAGAAGCAACAAAGGATATCACACCTGCTTCACTATTTTCGGGCTTAGGTGCTGGGTTCGCTCTTTGCCAAGTAGAACACATCTTGGATCTGCACCCCAGGAAGCCAGCATGGAGCAAATTTGAGAGTGGAAATGCAGGCGCATCGTGGATAAAGGAGTGTTGGGCCGGCTCCGCAGAGGTGCCTGTTTTCCCATCCACTGGCGGTTCGATGTCACACGGAGGAAGGGCGGAGTCGGGGAGGAAAGGCAAGGGAGCAAGCGCAGAGCATGTACAGAGCGGGGTCTGAGAGGGAGCTGGGCCGGAGAGCGTGTGCTTATTGGCAGATTCAGGAAGGGATCAAGGGAGGGAGGAGATGGGAGAAAGGAGAGCCCCTCTGACAAAGCCACGAGGCTCCGCGAAGTACCGTTGGACTCCGAAGGATCGGACTTGTTTTTGACAGAATGGCTCAGAGTCCTCGTAGTCTGCGACCTTTCGTGGGTCTCGGCCTGGTGAGCTCTTTTTGTTGCAGAGGGTTCGAATGCAACCGAGGCCGCTGCGGGTGGAGAGATGCAGCAAGGAGCCCTGTCCAATCTCAAACTGGTAGAGAGCCTGCTCAAGGGACGCTGAACGGCTGAACGCAGCCAGTCGCGAATGCGTCATCAATCCGGACATGTTTACTCAGCGGCTAAACCAGCTTCACCTTGCTGTTGTCCTCAAGGACGCCGGCTGGCCTGGCTGGAACGGAAGTTGCCAAGGTTGATTTGCCATCCGAGACGGAGTCTCCACGACCAGACTTCGATCTTCCGCTCACGTCTTCTGAAGCTGGCCGGTCTTTCAAGACAAGCAAGCCAGGCCCGTAGAAAAGCTTCTGATGTGGAATGGGAATACCGGTGGCCGCCTCCACTAAACTCTTGAAGTTCGACCTGCACCACTTGAAGGTCCGGTATGCGACAAAATCAGACAGCGTCCAGCAGCTCGCTGAGTAAGGTCCCAGCTCAACCCTATCGCTTTCGATCATAACAGTCGAGCTTGCACAGGGGCTCATCTGCAACGGCAGACACACGTTTGCAAGGTTTTTGATGGTAGCTGTTGGGTGCCAACTTCTCATTTTTCTGGCAAAGACCGAACCTGTGATGCCGAGATCGCAGAAAGTTTGGCAGCGCTCTGAACATGCTCCTGGGCAAGTCGTCGATCCAGTCCACACGCCGCTAGCACTTCACTCACTCTACTCATCTAAACTCTAAGCTCTCTAGGCTGCCGAAGGGTGCACGAAACCATCTGTCGCCGGAACCAGCACAGCTCAACTTCCACGACTGACTTGACTGGCCATCGCCAGCCCTACTGTCCACCGAGTGCAGGCTATGGCGACCCAATGGGAGGGATTTGGGCAGCGTATCAATTACGAATCTGTCAGAAGATGCGAAAATGATGTCGGACAATCAAGACGTCTGAGGTAGCAGCACAACTAAGCTCAGCAGAATACTTCTATGAACCATTCCCCCAGGTCAGTCCTGCTCTGCGGAGAGCATTGTTGCAGATGCCTTCTCATAGCATGTTTCTTGCAGCTCATCCATACCGCTTAGAAGGCCACAGACCACCGCCTCCGGCACTGTGCCTGGAAGTTCAGCTGCCTGCGCAAGCGCGACCGAAAGCATCGCCCTACCATCGCTGTCGAAGTCCCTGCCTCGCGCTCGGCACAGAGTTGGCCATTTCGCCGAGCAAGCAAGGACCGTAACTGGAAAGGAGATTTTGTGTGAAAGAGCCTACGTAGAGTGAGCTGCAGAGCAAAACGACAAGCCGTTCTTTCTGCACATAAAATTAAAACTTGCACATTCTTGGCTCACGGGTGTGGCTCGGCCGTCGTCTGCCAGGAGTTCCTGCATCGCGGGGGCACTAGAAAGACTTTTGCCCAGCCTCGTCCGGCCTGTGGCTCTTCGGGCGGCCCCAAGGGAAGGTGAGGTGGTACCTCTCGTGGTGACATGCAGAACTGGGCCACATCTAGCTTGCCGAGGTTCCTCGCTCGCCTTTGTGCTTCTTGACTGAACAGATTGTACAGAACAATACCACGACAGTGTCTCCATTTTCCCAGCACGCAGAGATTCAGTCTTCCAAGAGCTTGTTGCCCAAGGCCGCAGTGCACGAGCCCATCGCGCACGTGCTTGAGGTCGTGCAAAAGAATCAAAGGGCTCAATTTCTGACGGAAGACGAGGAGGCCTTCCGAAGTCGTGCTTGATAGCTCGGAGGAAACTCAGTTTCAAACATCCAGACTGGGGCTGCCCCTGCAGCTTGCACTGATCAGTGCCCCATGCAAAGGTGACCGAGTTGATCCTTTGCAGGATGTGGCTGCGTGGTGCTCGTTCACCCGGAGGAGTGCAGCGCGGACGCATGCATAGACATGACGGGTAAATGGGTCTAACGCTTGCTTCCACCGATACGCTTTTGCACGCGCGCTGATCACGGGATCTGCGCCATTGCAATGCGCTCCATCAGAGCTCGCTTGTTGAAGGATGTAAAAAAACGCGTCAGGCCCGGGCCCGGCGCTTCTCGAACACGAGCAGGGCGTTCGATGTCACGACCTGCTGTAGAGCAGTAGAGCAGCTGTGAACCGCACGGTCAAAGCAGCCATGGCGGGACGGGGCCGATCCCGAGACTGTCGGATCAAGCTGAAGCCACGTGCTTGGGCCCATCTGCTCGAAACATCGATTACAGAGGCTCCCAGATACGACAGCAGGTGCGCACGAAGAATGCCAGCCTTCCTTTCGGAACTCGGACCCAGATTCGAATCTGGCAAAGCACTGTGCTCACTGTGTCGCAAGGCGACCTGCCCTTTACGACGCTTCGAGGATTCGGGTTGCACCTTGTCGTCCGGCGCGGCTCCGTGGCGTCTCCCGCTGAGACGAACCGGGACGGGATCCTTTCGAACCCACTGAGACGGCCCACTTGCCCCTTGCATTGAGATGCTCTGGCGATGTGGTTGCCGCCTCTCGCTGTAGAAGGTCTTCCCGAATTTTCACGCCCCAGCCTGCAGCCATTCTGGAGAGTTGTGCCGTCCGCTTTTTTACACCAAAGCTGAGCAGTCGCGCTACCTCTCCCAGGTTTGCCAGACCTTGACTCTGACCGGTCCAACTGACACGATCTGACAAGGTGAGGCTTCCTGGGATGCCGACGCTTTGGAGGTCAGAGACATCTGGGTCGTAGAAGCCCTGAGCTTGCCCAGCCGGGGCTGGGCCCAGGCTTCGACAAGACATGACTTGGGTCCCGACATGGGCGAGCGCGACTGGCTGTGGGCCATCAAGACCTTGGCCTTCTTCGCCTGAGGCGGAGCCACACATGGCCTTGCAAGACCAAGTGACGGAGAGGGAGGCACGAGATCCGGTAGGTGTGGAAGTGCTGGATGTGTGTGGTCCTTCAGAGCTGAAGTGAAGCCACAAGTGCCCCGCCTGTCCTGCCGCGCGAAAGTCTTGAAACCGGAACATTGGCAGATGCCGATTCGTTTTCTGCTCAGAGCACGGGTGGCTGCGTTCTAGCAGCGCTGATTAAAGAAGAGAGCTAATTCACCGCTAATTCAGCCTTTCAGAACAAGCTGCCGGCCCTCACCGTTGCGCCGCCATCTGCCGTTGCATTTCATAAGCCTCTGATGGATGCTCAGGAATTTTCTTCGGCATACCGCACAAGCCTATGAACAAACCCGAGGCTATGGCCATGCCGGCAAAGTTCCCCGCACTGGCTTCAATGTCGGACACATTTCGATCTTCTCCGGGCGAGCCTTCGGCCAAAGAGACATATTAGTGATTATTCGTGTACCAGAAGCCCCTGATCGCCGGTACTCCCACCTAGACGTATGGAGCAGCGGTCGGCAAGCTCGATGACCCTCACGGGACAATCGATACCAATCTAATTATTATAAACTTACAATCAATGCTACTTGTATCTCACGCTTTCACGACAACGACGTCTTTTTCAGCAATTGGCCTCAGGATGTTCATTGCACGCTTTTTCTCCTCCACAGGTGCACATCGGGTTCCGTCTTCGCCCTCGGAACATGATGAAAGCCCCAAGCTTAGGACGCAGCAGCGTACTCCGCAAGGCTGCACTTGTTGGCAGGCAGCTCCCCTGTTCTTCCCGAGGCCCGTGAGAAAACGTAGTCAATCAGGGCTACCCACCCTAAAGGGTCAGAGCAGATTGAATTCTCCACCAGGGATCTCAGAGGCTGCCTCTCCCGATCGTAGCTTAGAGCCTAGGTCCAAGGGTTCGTATGTCAGCCACGGCCTCGCTTCCAGGATGATGATGTTATGCAGGTTCAGACACGTTGTGAACAGACATATGTGTCCCCGACGATCAGGTGTCCCAGTACGATGATATTAGGATTTTAACACTGGCGATCTGGACAAAATACATCTCGGATAGTAGAGACTAGTTGAATACCCATGATCTGACCTGTGCTCTGAGAATGGGGTCAGAATCGGGCTCGGAATATGGAATAATTAGGGGTATTCTGTGGGATTACCGCAACTTTGCGTAAGGGTTGTCTGCACCCCTTCGCGAAACCTTAAAATTGTCGTCTGATGAACACCCGCATCAAGAATCCTGTCTGGGTCGTGTTCGAAAGCCTATTCAAGCCGCATCCGGAACCACATCAAGGCAATACATACCGGTCTCCGATCGTATCATGGATCGCATCCAATTTGTCTTCAAACCATTCTATAGGCAGGAAATGTCTCCCCAAGCAACAGACATGGTGCCGTGATGCTTAAGCGCTTGTGACGCTTGTGCTGAATGAATGACTGAGCAAATGGAATGTCACACCATCTGCTTGTCGCAAAGCAGGGATCGCCGGAAGGGACTGAACAGTCTGAGTGTTGTCCGTTTATTTGTCGTGTGATCTCATCCTGTCCCTGCCTTCAGCACTGCGGCGACTGCTCAAATCCATCGCCCAGTGGAGATGAAAAAAGCGAGTGCACCGCACCGAACGTCCCAGCCCGCCTTGTCCAGCATCCGTGTCCCAGGCAAAGCAGCCACCCAGCCCCAACCACTCCATTCCAACAACAAGGCCTGTCAGACTGTCGGATGATGTCACAGCGCGGCGAGCGGCTCCAGTGCCTGCATCGTCTTTGAGCTCGCGCTCAGAGATTGGAACCTCTTGAGGCGTCTGCAGGCCTGCCTACAGGAGCGAGCAGCTCTTTGCCACTGACTGGATGCATGGTCCGATAATTAGGTTTGCCTGAGGCGCTAACAGAGTCCACCGCGGTTCGGAACGACATCGCATCATCGTTCTGGTACGCCAACATGCTGCTTTATGCTGTGCCCACGAAAAGCCGGTGCACCTCAACGGCCTTACGAAGCGCTTCGAGGACTTCAGACTCCAGGGGAACGAGGACTGCCGCTCGACACGCCTTGCAGTGTCGTGTCGCCGTGTACTCCGGATTCCGCCAGTCTTACGGTTCAACGGGCTGGCCTGGTCAGGAGCTGCAGCCGTCGCTCTGCCTGAAATCGGCCGTCATCTGCTCAGTCACGAATGCCGGCATTTAGTTTGCCTCTCGCCTCGCAGCGTGCCAGAAGACCTGGCCGGCGCTGCTCCATGCCGTAAGACGAGCTCGTCGGATGCCAGCAGAACCTCCAAGCTGTCGACATCGCGGAAAACTCTCCCACCCTGTCATCTCCTTTACCCCGCGAGTTCCGCCCGGCTTTCGGCGCCTCGGAGATAAGGTCTTCATCCCCGAGGACTTCGGACAGCTCGCCGGTCTCGCAGCAAAGCTTCCAAGCCTCCGCTTTCCAAGCAAAAAAGGAAGCCGATCGCCGCCCATCGCCCCCATCGCGCCTCTGCATCAATGTCAACTTGGTCGGGATGAGCCTGACGTGGGGCCATAGGAGGTCACAACCCCAGAGTCTGCACCACCACACGATTCACGATGATTCACGATGATGCACGGACACACGGAGGCCTGGTTGTAGCTTTTCACCACGAAGACTTTCAGCCGCTCGCATGGTGACGACAGCCATCCTTTGGGCAACGTCACCTGAAGGCTCGGCTCGCGACTCGCAACTCACACAGCCAGCGGCCGCATCGCACCGCCTGCTTGCGCCAGGCGTGACTCTCGTAGCCTGGCCCCGACCGCTTTTGCTTAGAGAGACTCGAGTCGAAGTTGAAGTTGAAAGAAGGCCTTCGGCCTCCTCCTGGACCGTAGAAACCAGCACCTCGCAGGCACAACATGTTCCTCAATGTCACATATGTCAATCAAGCTTTCAAGCCGGGGGCGCCTTCATATTGCTGGGCCACTGTGGCCATGTGCGGACCGTCGGGCCGGGTGAAGGCTCGGATCTTAAGCATGCTTTTCTTCTGCACCACATGCGCACAAGAAGAGCGATTCAAAAGGTGTGTCCTCAAGTTGGTATGTGCTCGTGTGTCCCCCTATCATGGTTTGCAGGTTCAGGCAGCACCATCAGCGGCGTGCTTTAAAGGCTTACACAGCCGTGGACTGACAACCCAATCGCCGCCGATCTAAAGTGGCTGTCAACCGGGCATGGATAGGCCGATGGTGCACTCCTTTGGAGGTGGCAGGATTCCGTTGAAGGAATCCAAAGACCTGTCCCTCCTGAGTGTGCCGAGGGATTGGAGTATGGAAGGCCCCAGAAGTCCAAGCTCAAGACCAAAAGCCACTGGACCATGCTATGTCCCGACGTCCAACCTGCACATGGCAAATCCTTGCTCCGAGAAGAAGCACTGCCCAGACAAGCACCAAACCGGCCGAGGGTGCATCGAAACGATTCCCTGCCAGTGACACGGTTGACACAAATTCATGGTGCCGGTCCACCCGGGAATCCTGTGTCGCGACTCTGCACAAGAACGTCAAGATGATGCGCACATATCGGGCAGCTTCCGAGTCCTCAGGCTTGGCCACCATGCAGCCGCAGAGCAGACTACAGAACGTGGCTTACGCAGGAGGCCGACCTAACTAGCAAAAAACTATTTCAAGATATGCGAGATGCATCTGAGTCTGGCAGGGGGGTGGTAGGCGGCTAAAGTCGCCTACAGATTGCTCCTCTCATAGTCGTTGACTCCTCATGTAGTCCAAGCTGTCCAAGCAGCTCCCATATAGATGCACATGAGAGCAACCTGTGCCTATGGTACAGCCAAAGGCATCCGCCTTGAGCCCGGCCAGGCAGACATTGCACAAAAACCGGATTTTCCGTTGGCCTTTACGTTGTACGCCGACATGACAGATTAATTGTCCGCGACCTCGTCTTCTGAAGCAGCTCATGCTACACAACAATCAGAACAAGAAGTCACGTGCTCCTGCGGCTTGCGGGAACTTCCGTTGAAGATGGACATGCAATGCTTTCAAGCGACTGCACCTTGACCGAAAGTCGAGTTCCTGCTTCTCATGTCAAGCTTTGTCATGGTCCCCAGATCGGACCTCAATGGACCTCCATAGACCTCCGATTCTCCGGTGCCTTCGACTCGACAGCAACTCCAAGCCCGGAGCAGACACACGAAGAAAGTACACTGGCACACATGAACATCAAAGAAGCGTGAGACGAGCAGGTAAAGAGCCTGCTCGCTTCTCTAGACATCATCTACTGGCATCGCCGAGTGCTGACAGGACGTGTCACAAGCTCACTGTATTGGCTCGCATGAAACTCCAGCGCCTAGGCAGAAAAGCACAGAATCTGTCTTGACTTTTGTTCCGGCGGATCAAGGCGTGATTGACGACCTGGCGCACCACCATGCACCGCTCCATCTCATACGAGTCGTGCAGAATGTAACAAGCCAGGCCTTTCTTCGAGCACTCCCGAAAGCAGCAGCTCGCTTGGTCGGGGTAACATATTTGTCCAGGCCTGGGGCACAATGCATACCAAAGGCACTAGGGGACTAGGGAGTCAAGATGACTTGCTACGAAGACTAACATGATTACAATGACTGCTCTTGCTGGTAGGATGGCAGCCGCTAATTCAAGGTCTCATGCTTGCCTGCGGCACTTGCTGTGGAGCATAGCCGTGCCCAGCACTTGATTGGCTAAATGCCTGGTCAGCAGCACAGATACAGGCATCCTCCCATTCCACCCACACGCAAAAGGGACACAGACGCAAGCTGTGCAGTGCAAGCTATGCTTCCGACTCCGAGGGCGCACCGGAATCGAGTTCACAGCGGTACACTTAGTGAACTCAGTCGGCTTCTCGGATCGCCTGAACCTGCGACCCTTGTTTTGCAGCAAAGGGGTCTCTGTGACTTAGCAGAATGTCTCTCCTTCAGATCTTGGAGCTGATGCGGCCTTCACACGACAACAGTACAAGTCCCGGAGCACGGGGTCGTTGGCGGCTTGGAAACACGTCTGTCGAATTGCTACGCTTGTAGAACTGTGGGACGCATCAGATGACAACGCATCCGGATCCGGCAGAGCTAGCTTCATCCTGCAGATTACAAAAATCGCGCGGGGACGAATATCATCAGAAGTACATGGATCGCTCAGCCAACACTTCTGCTAAGCTTCTGCTAGGGTAGAACGGCGTTGGATTTGGGATTCAGCACACGATCATCCCGCTCCGGTTGAAACAACACCGTTCCAGGAGTGTCCAGACAAGGAAGGCCGATGAAGCTCGGCACTGAACAGCTCGATACGCGTCGAGAAGTTCAAGTACCGAGTCAAGCAAAGGCCTCCTCAAAGATCCTGGATCCGGTTTAGCCAATTGAGGCTGCCGTCTAAACAGGCGCCGAATGTGATACTGACCCGGCTGGGCCGAGCTTGCAGCTTGGAGGTCTCGTGCCTGTGCAGTCGCTGGAGCCCCCGAACCTTTGCATTTTCCCAGGATTTGACGCCAGCATGATCATCATAATAATCCCATGTATCAAGCACTTGGACTTGGGGCCAAGCTGGGAAAACGGAGAGCCAACACATCGGAATGTGAGCTCTGAAAACATCGGCAGAAATCAGGTCTGTGCCACCAAAGTACAGTCCTGGTCTTCGCCATCTGGTCAGACCATACGACTACGAGACTATCACTACTCGGGAAATCTCGGGAACTCACGCAGTCGATGACTGCGTCGGCATGGGTCCTGCCGGGTCCCGGGTGACCAGATCACCAAGGCCACGCAAGGAGCTGCTGGGATGCCAAGGCTGCCAAGGCAAATTGATGCTCCTCAATCAGGCATCCACGCTCTCTCGACCTTACAGGCTGCAGCATGAAAGCTGGCATAAGCTGGCTCTGTTTGCAAGAAACAGATGATGCTCGTAGCTTGATTTGGTGAAACACAGGTGTCTTGGGGGATGGCTCTTGATGTCAGCAAGCATTCCTGGCGTGAACAGGTCGCGGAGCTTGCTCGCGTCTTGCACCAGACTCAGATCAAAGGAGCCCAGCCTGAAACCACCTCTTGAGGCGACGGTGCAGCTTTTGCATCATCCTGTCGGCATCTGGTTGACATGGCTCACGATGGCGAAAGTGGAAACCGGCCTCAACAGCTTCCTTCACAGCCTGCGAGGCGACATCAGAGACAACCTTGAGCAGGAAGACCTCAGAGCCGAGAGTGACTTGTCGGGTCGCCGAGATCGCCTGTCAGAGGCACAGACGGTCACTGCAAGCCCAGCTGCGTAGACCTCACACGGTGCTCGAAACGAGATATCGAGGGAGACTTGTTGCAGGACGCATCGCAAAGGCAGTCTTGCTATTGTGCCGAAGACTCTTAGGCAAAGGCATACCACGGCTGGCTAGCACCCTCCGTGGTGAGTTCACGTGCTGTCGTAGCCGCATAGACGAGCCCAATGGTGCCTCTGAAGTTTGTTGCACACAGACGTGGACCAATGGACCAAGAATCAAAGGTGCGCGGACCTGGAGCGAATCCCAAAGCCGTTGCCAAGATGAAGTCTCCGAAACCGACTTTGCTCAGACCGTAGACCTGTTAGACCACCGAGAAGTGGGTGTGTACAGCCGTGTTTGGCTGTGCCGCAAGACAGGCATGACAGGCTCCAGGCATAGTTGGACAAAGCAAAAGGCAGCAGCGGCGACAAGCGCCTGCCGCTGTTCAAACAAGAGCTGCGCTTGTGCCAGAGACCCTTGTAGCTGCGAGCAACTGCTGCCGAGGCGCAACAATAGAATGATTTTGAAGCCTTCTCGCCTGAGGTTCAGTTGACTTGCCCCATGTTCCTATACTCTCTTTACCCTGTAGCTTGGCTTCAACTAGTAAACGTCGCAAACCCTAGCAGCTGAGCCCTCTCATCAGGCACCCCTTTTTGAATGCGAGCAGCCGGTTGTGACATACACCTGCTGGAGTCTGCTACAGCTAGCATCACTGCTGCTGACAGGTGCAACGGCGCTCTAATTAAGTCTACGATTTCAGTTGTTCTTGTCTGTTCAGCGCTGCAGGCCTTTCATGCTGGCCGCAGAACGGCCATTCGACCAAGCTTGCCAGAGCTTGCCTTGAAGAGAACGCTAAGTAGTCAATAATAGTCAATAGCTATGCCACTTTCTGACAGACCAGTTAAAAAGTCGTGGATCCATTCAATGGAGCCACAAAAGGACAGGGATGCAAAGCCCATGGGCCGAGAGCTGGTTCGTGCCTCAGTCATCATAAGGAGCACACCTGGGCTGCAGGCAAGATATGAGCAACAGGGAGAGAGATTCAAAATGAACGAGTCATCGGATACATGAAGGGCACGTCTCAGCTGCTCGGTACAGCGTGTCCGCCAAGACCTACAGTCGAGCGAAAGAAAGGCATCTGCAATTCAGTCAAAGCATCATCACAGCACACTGGCAAATGTGCGCACACCTCTGGAGCCAAAGCCTGAAGGCGGCACAAAACACGGAGCTCTGGCCAGCTGCGGTGTAGCTGTAAAAGGCACTCTAAGTACATGGAAAGCATCCAGGCCTGGCAGGTGCGAAGTATCCTACCCGGTGCAGACACCTTTCATCGGGCTGGCGTCCCTCTGAATGCAACATGTTCTGAGACCACTACTTCAGCGGCCATCTCCGCACATGATTTGCAGTCGATGAATGCCTAGGAGCTCATGCAGTACTGCGCGTAAAGCGTGTGCAGCTCACGAGGCCCGACTGTGTTTTCCCAGGCTCAGTGCAGCACACGTGCATCTTGCGGAACAACTTGCAGCTCATCGAGTACGAGTTCTGCACCTGAGGAGCACACAAGCGCAATCCACGCGCGCTGCGGATGAATTACCACCAGCTTCACAGAGAGTCCCTGCCGGACACCGGGAAGATGTCCATGAATGCCTGCACACGTCAGGTGCACAACAAAGCTTTGCTGAGCAAGGGCCTCGTTGCAAGGGCCTAGCGGCGAAAACCCAATGCGGCGCCAGCATCGCGTAAGGATGCTTTGCTATTTTTGCTGACAGATTGAAACCAAGGCAGACCATCGTCATAGGGGATCGAGACTAACCAGCTATCGCCCTCCAATTCGTGCCGGACTGCACTGGCACTCCCTCCTTTTTATGTTCGCTCCCGTCATGGAGATACAAGTACGCACCGATTGCGCAGGCCTGGCACCAGGGACTGACCTTCGACGTCGGGTTGCCGAAGGGATCTACCAAGCCGCCACCGACATGAACCCAGCCGGCGATGCCTGGGACTGGCCAAGTAAAGGCACGTGCCCTGTGTTTCGCAGAGCTTCGGACAACAGCCCAGCCTCCGAGGATGCTCTTTAGCTGGGAGCTGTTCACCTCCCATGAGATAACAACATGACAAAAATATATATGTATATGAAAATCAACGCCATTGCAACGCAGCACAGGCTCGCGGTGTGTTTCAGCCCAGGTTCCTTCCACACCGTCCCCTCTACACCGCCAGCACCCGAGCACCCGAATCTTGTCCCGGATAGACCCACTTGCTTCACTGCTATGTGTATCTTCCGCTCGAAAATCATTTCGTTCGTTGGGCTTGTGAGCTTGGCAACGGTGCT